ACATCACCACTAAGGTGTTTCATCCTCACCTCATGGCCATTGAGTCAATTCTGACTTCTAATGACCCCAGACGACAGAATAGAACTGCCCCTGTGGGTTTATGAGGCTGTAACTGTACAGGAGTAGAAAACCTTATCTTTCTCCCTCAAAGTGGCTGGTGGTTTCAAACTGCTGACCTTGTGGTTAGTAACCCAACGTGTAACCACTACACCACCAGGGCTTTTTGAGTTGACCTTGTATAAGACTTCCAAGACTGACTCTTTATGCAAGCAGACAGCCTCATCTTTCTCCTAAGGAGCAGCTGATGGGTTTGAACCACTAGCCTTGTGGGTAGCAGTCCAGGGACACCAGGGCTCCTCTATAGAGCAAACAAACCCATGCCATCAAGTCAATTCTGGTTCATGGTGACCCTAGGGTAGAACTGCCCCTGTGGGTTTACAAGAAAGACGGTGACTCTTTACAAGAGCAGAAAGCCTCATCTTTCTCCTGAGGAGCGGCTGGTGGTTTGAACTGCTGACCTCACGGGAAAGAGGCCAGTGTGTAGGCACTATGCTACCGGGGCTCCATGTATAGACAGACAGGTGTGCCCAAGTCTTGGTAACAGTTGAAACCGGATCGGGGTACAGAAAGGTGTTCTTTGTTTTTATCCTGCTAGAGTATGATTTAAATAGGACACGCCTATCCATCTCCCCAGAAGAGCAGTGGCGCTCTGGGAGGTGTAGTCTATATCTTCACTTAGAGAGAATCAGTCTCCTGTGCCAACTATCTGTCTGCGGGGAGACAGCTCTGCCCAGGGCAAGGATCCCCTCCGTTACTAGAGGGAGCCGGTTGGGTTCTGAACGCCCTCAGACCTCATCATCAGCGCCCTTGCAGAACTGTCCTCCTCGAGGGGACGGCCACTTGGCGCACTGCAACGGTTCCGCCCACGGTTTTGAACGTCCTAGACGGGTTCTCAGTCCAGGTTCAAGCTCCAAGAACTGTGGGCGCAGCGAGTCGATTCCAACTCCCAGCAGTCCTGTGCGCGCTCTCCAAGGCTGTGGATCTTCATGAGAGCAGACGGCCTCATCGTTCTCCTGAGGGTTGGCTGGGGGTCTTTAACTGCCAACATTGCAGTTAGCAGCCCAATGCTTAACCCACTGCATCACCATGGATCTGGTCTGGCTTAGATCCACAATCAAAGCTCATGGAAGCAGCAGTCAAGAGATCAAAAGACGTATTACATTAGGTCAATCAGCTGCACAAGACCTCTTAAGAGTATCGAACAGCAAGGATGTTATGTTGACCCGAGGCATGGTATTCTCCATTGCCTCCTATGCATGTGAAAGTGGGACCCTGACTAAGGAAGAGCATAGAAAAATTGATGCAGTTGAACTGTGGTGCTGGAGAAGAAGATTGACCGTACCACGGACTGCTAAAAGGACCAACTGGTCTATCTTGGAAGAAGTAGGGCCAGAGGGCTCCTGAGAGGCAAGGATGGTGAGACTTCATCTCATGTACTTAAGGACATGTTGTCAGGAGAGACCAGTCCCTGGAGAAGGACATCATGCTTGGTGAAGCGGAGTGGCAGCAAAACGGGGGAAGGCCCTCAACGAGGTGGATTGGCAGTGTGGCAGCAACAATGGGCTCAGGCTCAGGCGCAATTGTAAGGATGGCGCAGGACCATGAAGTGTTGTTATGTTGTGCATAGGGTCACTATGGGTCTTAACTGACTCGTTGGCACCCAACAACATATATATACATACTATATATAGTACATACACATATATATCGCACACAAATATATAGCAAAATACATTGCTTATCTATTCATTGCCATATATACAAATTTGTTGCTATATGTAAATAATTTTTATACATATAATGTTGACATATACACTAATTTTGGTTTTATTTATGTAACGAGAAAATGGTATGTGTGTGTATATAGCAAAAATTGGTGTATATATATGCATTTATATATAAATATATATGTGTATGTACATATATAGCTACAAATACATAAAAACTTTGTGAAAAAATGGAATTGAAAGGCAACGGGGAAAAAAAGACAACGGAATTATTCACTTACTTTTTAAAGCCCCCTTCTATATATCAAAAAATTTATATATGCAGCAGCAAACTTAAATATCTAGCAGCATGTATAGGTGTGTGTGGTGTGTGTGATAACAACCAGTACAAACACAGGAGCTAACACAGGCGGAGTCTTGGTGGCAAGGTGGGGAAGCGTTGGTTGGACAGTCAACTACAAGGTCAGTGGTTGAAAGCACCTGTCACCCCATAGGAAAAGGAAGAGGCAATCCATTCCCATAAAGACTCACCACCTCAGAACTCTATGGCGTAGACTCGATGGCAGTGTTGTGTGTGTGTGTGTGTGTGTGTGTGTGTGTGTGTGTGTGTGTTTAGAGATAGAGAAACAACTGTATCTTCTGGGGAGTACCCATAAAAACCGGAAAAGGCTCTGCTGGGCAGAACTCTCAGGGTACTCATTTTTCCGACGAGGCAAGCATCTGGCAGCTCACTCTTGAGTTCGTGCACCCAGTGGCATCCGTTGCCTAGGAAGGTTCTCTGAGATCACAGTGATTTTTTTTTTTGTAAAAGCAGTTTCACTCGAACCTTGTTTTTTGTGATGCCCGATTTAAGAGAACAGCGCGCGGCTGTGAAATTTTGTTTTCTGCTCGGGGAAACATGCTGCAGAAACTGTTGTGATGTTGAACTCAGCTTACAAGGACAGCGCTATGGGGAAAACGCGAGTGTGCGCGTGGTTTTCTCATTTCAAGAGAGGTCAAATGTCGATTGATGACACACCTCTTTCTGGATGTCTGCTAATTTCCCAAATGGACGGAAGTGTCAACAAAATCCGTGCACTTGTGCTCGAAGACTTAGGATGGACCACTGAAGAGATGGGGAAGTTATCTGGACTCTCTCGGAGCTCGGTTCAGTGAATTTTAACAGAAGGTTTGGGAATGAGAAGGGTCACTGCAAAATGTGTGCCTTGGGTTCTGACTGACCAGCAAAGAGAGCGTCCGGTGGTAACATGCCCTGCTTTGAAAGAACAGCTCCAAAGCGATCCAGACTTTTCCCCAGGGTCATTACTGGTGACAGGACATAGTGCTATTCTTAAGACCCTGAAAGCAAACATCAATCAAGCCAGCGCAACCAAAGATCAAGACGATGCTCATTTGGCTCTTTGTACGTGAGGGGGATAGTGCATTTGGAGTTCATTCCACCAGGTCAGACTGTTAATCAAGCTTTCTATAGAGGTTCTGAAAAGATTGCAGAACAGTGTGGGCCAAAAAAGACCTGATTGGTGGCAGACAGGGGACTGGTTTTGCCACCAAGACAATGCACCTGCTCACACAAC